TGCCCAGCAGGCAAGTTCAGGAGGCTTGAATAGATGAGGCAAGCTATACGGTTGCCACGGAAATCGGGCCATAAGACCCAAGGCCTCACCAGAAACAGCAGACCAGCTCCAGGAATGCAGAAGCAGGACCAGGGCACATTCCCTACTGAAGACCGGTGCCCAAGACCAGACATCCCAGCAGATAACTAGTGCAAAGCCATGCCCAAGTTAGAAAGTTCCATGAAAACAGAGTACACAAGAGACCCTCAAATCTTTCTTCACAGGCGAAAGTGTATCTCCCATCTCACCCCGCTCCCTTTCAGGGCACTTCAATAAGTCAACCTGCTTCGTCTTCCACTCTGTCTCTGATGAATTCCTTCACCCCAGTATTAATTAGACTGCCATAGTTTCCATGACTCCTTCTTTGCATCCAATTAATTGGCTAGAGTGGCTCAAGAGAACTCAGGAAAGCCACTTACATGCTAGATCCCTGGTTTACTTGCTACAAGAGAACATACTCAGGAAGAGCCAGATGAAGTGATGCACAGGGCAAGGGACGGGGGGATGCTGCAGAGCTCTGTGCCCTCTCTGTACCACCCTCTGTGCCCTCTGTACGACAGTCCTCAGCTCTCCAAAGGTCTCCAGCCTGGGATTTCTCTGAATCGCCTTCTCTTGGATTTTTATGGAGGCATCATAACTCAGGCATGAGAATGATTAAATAGTTGTCCATTGGCCATTGATTCAACTTCCGGCCCTTCTTCCCTCCTAGGAGATCAGGGTGTGGAGGATGAGAAATACTAACCCTCTGATCACGAGGTTGGTTCTCCGGCAATCTGCCTCCACCCTTAAGTGGGACTTAAAACCACCTCATTTGCAATAACAAAAGACTCCTTGCTCACTCAGGAAAGACAACACTTAGGAAATTCAAGCATTTTGGGAGCTGTGGGCCAGGCAGTGTGGAGGAAGCTCAAACATACAAGAGAAATTTATATTTGGAAGGAAGGGGGGACAGCGTGGGAACAAAGGTTGAGGGGGCGCCACGGTCTAGGGTAGAGGAATCTGGGTGCTTGGATGGTGGGGGTGGGATGGAAACATACATCTGATGCGGTATGAACCTAATCCCCTAAATCATATACAGTGTTGTAAACCGATGTCACCTCAATAAGGGGGGGGTAGGGAGAATGCATAGTAGGAAATCTGCACACCCATTGTTTATGGCCTGAGCTAATTTTCCGGCCCGAGGACATGTCTGGAGGGGTGTGGGGAGCAGTGCTATCTGCAGGCCACCCTCAGCACCGGGGGCCGAGCCTGAGGCCAGGTGTCCAGGAGGGCGATAAGGAACTCTGGGTGGACATCACCAGCTCCTGGCAGCAGAGAAGCCTGCCACTGCTGGACTGCCTTTGGTCAGCGCACTGTAAAGAGCCAGCTGTAGATGAAATGCGAAGGCGGCTTCTTTAGGGTGTTAACCCCATCTTCCCGGCCACCGGCTGCCAGATTGAAGAGCATCTTAAAGATTCAATTCCTGTTTCCACTTTATTGGCATTTGGCAGTGACAGGTGGCCTGAACTCCAGCCTTCTGGTTACAGAGGCTCAGCAAAATAGACTTCTACTCACCAGGCTGGCCTGCGACAGACACCACTGAGTGTCCAGTCTGCAGCAGCAGAGACCACCCTGAGCCCTGGTGTGGCACCATTCCCAGGGGTGATCTGGCAGCCACCCAGTGGCGGATTGATGACAGTGGACTCTTCATCATGGAAGGGGCAGTGCTTCGTCCTTACTGCAATGGACACTTATTCTGCATATACGCTTCTCTCTCCTACACAAAATGCTGCTGCCAAAACTACTATCATCAGACTTATAGAACAGCTTGTTTGCAACTATGCTATCCCACACAGCATTGCTTCTGACCAAGGAACTCAATTCCCAAAAAAGTGGGGCAACGCACCCACGCTCATGGGATTCACTGGTCATGTGTCCTGAGGACTGGCTTGACAGAACAGTGGAAAGCCCCACGAGAAACCCTGTCACAGTGTCAACGAGGTGACAGTACCTTGCAGGGTTGATGCCAGGGTCTCTACAAGGAACAACTGTATATTACACACAGTCAGCATGGACTATATGGTGCTGGTTTTGCAATAATCTCGATTCATTCACAAGTCTAGGATTCAAGGGATAGGAATGGAAGTGGCATCACTCACTACACCCCTAGTGTCCCCCCAGACGAGACACCCACCCTATTGCACCCAGCAGTACCCAACTCCAGGAGAGTGGGTTCTGCTGTTGCTGTCCACTGTGCTGACTGGGGCCTCGCCATTAGATTCTTGTTTCAGCACCATGGTCAGAGTCTACAGGAGCCATATCTTTCACTATTTGAGGGTGTTCCGTTGGCAAGTTTGCATAAACTGAGTCCAAAATAGCCTCCATGCAGTATTCTGACATAATATTCAGTCAGAGAATGCGTTGATATTGATTCAGACTGCCCGTGCGTCTTGAACAGAGATGGAATTCAGATCCTCGGGATGTTGGCCCCTCCCACACACAGCATGGCAGCCACAGAACAGACCAGGGTGTGATATAACGTGAGCTCTCCCTTCCCTCCCAAGACTGTCTCTTACCAGACCAGTGCAGGACACAGCTGCTGGGTATGAACAAAAGCTAGCAGACTTGGGGTCACACCAAATTCTTTGCAAAACTTCAACCTGCCTCTTGCTAGCTCTGTGTATTTGGGAAAGTGACTTTGCCTCTCTGCTTTTTTTTTTTTTTTTTTTTGGCTTAGAAGAACTGGGGTGTAGACCAGAGGTGCGGTGGGGGTGGGTGAGAGGATTCATCAGAGACAGAGTAGGGAGCAGAACAGGCGGATCTACTGAAATGCACTGCTGAGGGGAGCAGCGGGGAGACAGGAGAGGTCTGCTGCACCGTGTGGGTCAGCTCCCTGGCTGGGCATTGAACTCAGGCTGTCGTGGTTAAAGTGCTGAGACTTAACCCCTAGGCCACCACGGAGGCCCCAAAAGTCACTTTTGGGGGGTACACAGTCAGGAGTTGGCACCAGAATGCAAAGTCCAGCCTGTCTAACGCCAATGCATGGGTTCTTGCCACAATCTTACCTGCCCAGAGTGAGCATCAAGGCAGAAGGAATCACAGCAGTCCCCTCCACTGCCCACAAGAGAAGACTGATGCTGGCAGGCCTTGATCAGGAACTGGGAACACCTATTTCTTGGCTCCTCCCTCCCCCTTTGGCTCTGCCAATCACACCAAGAAGCAGGACTGCAGGACTTTTCCTAGTGGGGTGGAAAGCCAAGAAGGGGGAACTGCAGATATGCTGAGCTTCAGGGGCTATGGCACTGGAAGGTGGCTCTGCTGGGAGGAGGCAGGAGCTGAGATCCTTGAGGGGAATTCCAGAGAGAGGGCTCAGCTGTCCTTGGAAGAGGGCAGTTTGGCTGCAGTCCAGTTCTGGCCACGACTTCACCCGAGGCTCCTTCTGCAGGCAAGGCTCTCTCGCGCTCTGTCTCTCTCTCTGTCTCTCTCTGTCTCTCTCTATCTCTCTCTATCTCTCTCCTCCCTCTTCCTCCCCTCAGCTGACCTGCCCTTAAATGTTCCAGACATGGGCTGGCAGCACTGGGACCAGAGAAAAAGGGCATCTGGTAACCAGTGCTTACTTCCCCTTAAATCAACAAAAATTAAATAAAATTTAATTTTCCATTTTCAGCCCCACTAGCCACATTTCAAATGTCCATATTAGGCAGTGATAACAGGACTTGTCTATCATCCCAGAAAATTCTGTTGAACTGTCTTCCCTGCTCTGGGGTCCTCTCGACCACAATCCCCTGCACCCTCCCTGTATCTTCCATCTCTCCTTTGTCACAGCCAGTCTGCCAGACACAGCTTCAAAGCTCCTGTACAACTTGGCAGCTGCATTAACTAAATGCCTGGGGGGGGGGGAAAGAAAGAATTTTGTGCCTCAGTTTCCCCATCTGTAAATGAGGATAATATTATCATACCTCCTGCCATAGAATCATTGCAAGTTTTATTTTTTTTTTCAAGCTGACATGGGGAATTTATTTGGTAGAAAAGCAACATCTATAGAATGCCACAGACAGCCTTAGTATGTTTAAAGTACTACATATAAAAATGGCAACTGATCATAGTGACAACACTGAAGCACTGAAAGATACCAGAGTACTTTCTGAATGCATGAAATGAAATTATACTCAGTATGGTTTTTAATGTTATTATCTCTCTCCAAATTCTAATATGCTAACGTTTGATAAACTAGATAACCAGAATCTCTAATCATAGAACTTCTGGTGATACAGAACTTTTGGCAATACATAAACTTACTCATACTCATCTGGTGTTTATCTCCACACAAACATTTTAAAATTGCAAATTCTTGGTCAAATGATATATTGCTTGAATTCATTAAATACAGACTTATCTATTATACAAAGTTAAATGTACAACTAAATTAGTAAAAAGTGCTTGCTGTGGTTTTTCAGGGACATTAATAGTCTGACAAAAATGTTTATGAATGATCTCTATACTAATATTGCGTTTTCTTTCATTAAAATCTAATTTTCCCCTAAATTTAACCAGTTTTGTGATTTTTTTATAATATGAAATCTATGCCTTCTCTGTTCTTATCAAGTCTTCTTTTTTTCCTTATTCATTAGATTAAATTCAGTATAAGTTTTATTGGTATCTTTCACTTCATGCATATTCTTACTCCTAAGCACCAGCAGCTCTTCAGAGGCCTAAAATCCAGCATGGGAATTGCTGTATTACATTAGTTCTAAAAAGCATTAAAGACTTTTCCTGAAATATACAGAACATATCATGCCAAATCTCTTGTTTATACGATAAACTGATTATATTGGTAAATTGCACATATAGCTTATATTCCCAAAATAGAATAACTTAAATATTAAAACGTACCTTTGTTACCACCATATCTGAACTTATAAGCATAACAAATGGCAATATTCAATACAAAAAAATCATAAAATTCACTAACCTTAAATGCTGCATATCACAGCATAGAAACTTTCATCTCCCTATGACCTATTCAAACTATAGACAGCAATGTTTCAAGCACTCTAGCAGCTACAGCCTAATTAGAAATTTATACGAAACACAATTCTATGTTCAAATATGGAAATAAGCAACATAATTCCAAAACCCAAAAGTATCCCAGCATTCTGTAAAAAAAAATATCCCCAGCGGCTACATCCATGGTCACTGGCATCATTGTGCAGCATCTCAGGTACCATATCAACCAGAGCAACATACATGAACAAGCCAGCGGTAAGTGCAAAAATCCACATAGAAACATTTTCAGCATAATGGCCAATGAAGATTCCTGTTGCCATTCCAAGATATGCTAACATGGCTGACAAAGCATTATAAAGAACAGCCTGCTTATATACAGATTCAATGCTATTCCAATCAAAATTTCAATGTCATTCTTCAAAGAAATAGAACAATTATTGATGAAATTCATATGGAATCACAAAAAACCCCGAATTGCCAAGGCTCTCCTGAAAAAGAAAGAAGGGAATGGAGGCATCACACTCCCAGACTTCAAACTATACTACAAAACTAATCATCAAAACTGCATGGTATTGGAACAAGAACAGACATACAGACCAATGGAATCGAATAGAAAATCCAGAAATAAACCCACAGATTTATGGTCAACTAATCTTTGACAAAGGAGCAAAGACTATGCATTGGAGCAAAGAAAGTTTGTTCAATAAATGGTGCTGGGAAAACTGGGTCGCTACATGTAAAAGAATGAAGCTTGACCACTACCTCACACCATACACAAAAATCAACTCAAAATGGATTAAAGAACTAGACATAAGACCTGAAACCATAAAATACATAGAAGGAAATATAGGCGAAACACTACGGGATTTGCACATCAAAGACATCTTTACAGACACATCACCCAAAGCAGTGATAGTGAAGGCAAAGATAAACAGCTGGGACTACATCAAATTAAAGAGCTTCTGCACAGCAAAAGAGACAATAACAAAAACAAAGAGAAACCCCACCAACTGGGAGAACATTTTTGCACCCAACACTAATGATAAAGGACTGATCACAAAAATCTGCAAAGAGCTGATGAGACTCAGCAACAACAAAGAAAATAATCCAGTCGAAAAATGGGCAGAAGAGCTAAAAAGAAACTTCTCTGAAGAGGAAATGCAAATGGCCAACAGACATATGAAAAAATGTTCAACATCACTTGTCATCAGGGAAATGCAAATCAAAACTACCATGAGATACCATCTCACACCAGTGAGAATGGCTCATATTAAAAAAACTAGCAACAACAAATGTTGGCGAGGGTGTGGAGAAAAAGGAACTCTCCTGCACTACTGGTGGGAGTGCAAACTGGTCCAACCACTGTGGAGAGCTGTATGGAGATTTCTGGACCTACTAAACATAGAGCTTCCATATGATCCAGCAATTCCACTCCTAGGTATTTACCCAAAGGACACAGAAACATCCATTCCAAAGAACACCTGCACCCCTATGATTATAGCAGCACTGTTTACAATAGCTAAGCTTTGGAAACAGCCCAAATGCCCCAAAATAGATGACTGGATCAAGAAGATGGGGTCCATATACACCATGGAATATTACTCAGCATTCAAAAAAGATAAACACATGCCATTTGCAGCAACATGGATGGCGCTGGAAGGGATCATGCTCAGCGAAATAAGCCAAAAAGAAAAAGAAAAATACCGGATGGTCTCACTCATAGCAGGAATCTAGAAAACTTAAATAAGGGACCAGGAAAATGAATAACTATAAGAAAGCAAAAATCAAAATCAACAAAAAACTATGAACCAGAGACACTTTTTGGGGGGTGGGGGGTAGGAGGGGAGGGATTGGGGTCAGAATGGGGTGTTTGCAACTGTATGGGGGAATATAAAAATAAAATTTATTATTTAAAAAAAAACAAAAAAAAATAAATAAAGAACAGCCTGCTTAACAGTCATGCCAGCTTTAAGTAAAACAGCAAAGTCACCTAATTCATGAGGCAACTCGTGACAGAACACAGCAACAGAAGTACTTAAACCACTTGATAAACCTTCAGTAAAAGCAGCACCAATTGCTAGGCCATCACTGAAATTGTGCAGGCCATCGCCCATTATCACCATCCAGGCCAACGTAGCAATGCCAGCATCTTTTAGCTCCTCCCGAGAGTAGCGCTGACTGTGACTATGGGGGTGGTGGTTTTGGTGATGGTGGTGATGGAGAATATGATGGTAGTCATGGTGGTGGTGAATGAGATCGTCTGACTGGCCAAGTGTATCATGGAAATGCGAATGGCATTTATTCTTGCACCCTCTGGGTACATATTCATTGTAGACTTCTTGTGGATGAGCATGAGCTGTCATAACCTCTTCTTCTTCCAAGATTGCTGGCTGTTGAGAATCAAAGTGGGAGGGCTCTTGTGACTCTGATCGCAAATAGCCTTCTTGTCGATCCTCTGCTTCCACTTTCTCCACATTTGTTGAAAGTTGCGATTCATATTTGGACAATTGCGTCTTTATTTCCACATCATCATCATTTTCAGGTTTTTTCTGATTCTTTTTCTTCTTATCTTTAAACTGCTTGATCAATGTAAGTAGATGTTCAACAAGAAACATGAAGTCCAAGCCTCCTAGAGCTGTAAGACCCTTCCATGTAGAATCAAAATAGGTGCTTTCTTCTATGTTTTGAGATGACAGATGACTGAAAAGTGGCCCTCTCTTCATTTCTATTGCTGGTTCTTCATGGCTATGACTATGGTGATGACTTGCATGAGAATGTGGAAGAAGGTGTAAAAAAGCATCACCACTCAACGTTCCAACAGCCAGTGCCACAAGGAAACTTAGGAGAAATTTAAAAAATACTCGATTCATGCGAGGCACTAAGATAACACCCAGCAAAGACAGGAAACTGATGATGGAAAGAGCTATAAAGCCACCAACCCAAGCTATTTGTAAAGAATAGGTCTTTGGTGGGATTTCAGCTTTCTTTTCACTCGTCGTATGAATCAGACACGATCTAGCATCAAGTTGATTGATGATTGCTGGGCAGAGATAGTTGAACTCTATCGCACTCAGTGGAACATGGATGCCCATGCCATGACATGTGAGCAGCTTTGAGGCATTGAAACACTCCTGAGTATTTTCATTTGTGTTTCTGGAATACAAAAAGCCTTTTGGGGGTTCATTCATAGCTTCATTTGTTTTCCTACTAGCCAGTCGAATCACCCGTTTTTTTTCTGTGATACTGGGTGGAGTAGAACTGCTCCCATCTTTGGGAAGTTTTCCAGGTTTTGGAGTTTCAATGGTCTCCAGAAAGTGTGTTCCTTCTGAGACAGCATTATATACAGTTGAGGTCACTTCACTAGCACCAACACCATCCTTGATTAAAACATTCCTTCTGCCATTGGCATGTTCTGATCGGTGAGATCCTTTCCCCTGACTGTTTCTAGGATCTTTATTGGAACCATCAGAGTCATGATCTGGGCAAACAGCTTTCCGATTATTTTTACTGGAAGTAGCATGATTATGGTGAGAGTGATGATCATGGTCCGAGTGATGGTCATGGTGTATATGGATTCTTTTAATCTTATCTAGACCTATATTCTGGAGCAATTTTCTGAACCCTTCAACTGACAAGGAATTGTTTTCACCATAGCGATGGAAAAGTTGCTGTAGATGATGTTGCTGTGTGGTATACGCCAAGTCAACATTAATGCTGGAGTCCCAAGTTGTAATAATTTTCTCAGTGGTCTGAGGGAAAGCAGTTCTGGTTCTAGTATTTGTAACTGATAGGGCAAAGGTCAGGATCAAGATGATAGACAAATTTCTCGCCATTGCACCTTCCTTCGATGAGGAGATGAACTGTACAAACCGTTTCCTCAGACTGTCCCCCGTGGAAATCCAAAGCCAATCTGTGCAGCCCACACCGAGAACTTCGGCCTCCCGGCCCCAGGGGCTCCTCTCGCCGCCGCCCCTCTCAGAGCCGTGTGGCTCACCTCCCGGCGGCCTCGCCCAGCGGCCGACCCCAGGCTCGGCGAGGGCCTCTCCTCTCTCTCTGGCGAGACCTCTACAGGGCACCGAGAAGCCGCGGTCTCATCGGCCCGCTCTCCCTAGGTGCAGAGGTAGCGCTGCGAACCATAGGGAATCTCCCATCTGTTATGTTTATTGTTTTACCTTTATGGTCTAGCCCTCCGGTGAGCATCTTTACACTTCATCTTATCATCTGAAGAAAACCAGGACCATCCTTAACAAGATTACCTGTGGTGCTAGGATGTGTGTTTTCCCCTAGTGTTTAACAATGGTGTTTGTTTTTCCCAGTGGAATTGGCTGCATTTCCTTGGTTGTCCTTATCTCTGAAGCCTTTCTGAATTCTTCAGAGGTCCCCTCCTGCACTGTCCCTAAAACTGCCTAATAACCCTAGCTTGCCCTGTCTCAAGATTATTTTCCCATCTGTCAATGTGACTTCATTGTTTATTTACTAATCTGGAAGCTGATTTTTGTCTCTTGATGACCCCTAAGTTTTCTTACTGGCATATGACCAAGTGTGGGTTTATTTGATGAAGAAAAACATCTGTAAGATTAAACTATACACAGTAATTCAAAGCGGATAAAGATATAAGATCTGAAACCATAAAACACTTAAAAGAAAACTCGGGGACACCCTCCAGAGCCAGCCCAGGGACACAGCCCAGCACAGTGGAAGGGATGCAGTTACAAATGACTGGTCTCTCAGATAAGAATTAAGAAGTTTGTCTTCCCTCATCTCTTGCAATTCCCCCCTTATTTGTGATAAGTTTGCCTTCTTTATGACCCGGATCCCAGAGAAGCATTAAGAAGTTTGTCTCCCCCTATTTCTTGCAATTACCCCTGGTTTGGCAGGTTTGTCTTTATGGCCAGGCCTCTCAGATGAGCATTAACAAGTCCTCCTGCATTTCCAGGAAGAGGGAAGAAAAGCAAACTGGCGCCCACCTGTCTCCATCTACCCCATGCCCCTCCCCTTTGCAGACCCTAACCCATATCCACCTTTTTTTGTGTATAAAGACCCCTGCCCTCTGCCAAAGAGCAGGCCGGTTGTCTCTCAGACATGAGCCGGCTGCCCTCCTCATCTGAAGACAAATTAAACCACTTTCCTTTGCCTCAAACTCTTTTTCCTTTTGTTGGCTGAGGGAAACTGAGGCCGGCGTTCGGTATCAGAAGCAGATACACCAGCGGCTTTGGCGGAGGAAAGGACAGGAAACCTAAAGGAGGCATCACAAGACTGGAAGCCGACTCACACAGGAGGTGTGTAGGCGGGATGAGCATCAGCCATCAACCCGGGTACAGAAACCAACACCCTTGGGCATCAACTCCCAGATCAGGAGGCGCAACACCAGGCAGGCATCGGACTGCTGTAGGGGTGTGAGAACACAGACCATCCACCCACGAAGAGGAGCCCCTCCCTACCGGAAGAAGATGATAAAACCTGGCACTGCCCCCACAAAGGGGCGGCATCCCTCTGCCCCACTGTGACTGTGCAGCCGTCCCTCTGCCCTCCATGACTGTGCAGACGCTTGCTTTCACCACCTCTCTCCTCCGCAGGGCAGCGGCCTCCCGGTTGCCCGTGCCCCGTACCCTGCTGGGGCTTCTCAGCACTGACCTCCCTCAGCAGAGGCCTCTCTGCTCAAGGCCGTCCGCCTGCGACCATGCAGGCCTCTCTCAGCAAACCTCTCCCTCTCGGGCAGCTCTTCCTGCCCGCTTGTGTCTATGCAAGTGTCCTTTACTTTTCTGTCCCTTTTCTAATAACCTGCTCTTTAATATAACCAACATCTCTGTCTCGTGGAGAAACTTGCCTGGGAAACGCCGCGTGCTGCTGAAAGGGGAGCTCTGGGGACACCTTTCCCAGAGGGAACCCACAGACCCCGCACTCCAAACTCACCGCCTCCAAAAACGAAATTAGGGTGAAGTAAACTAAATTTTTTAAAGATTTATTTTATTTAATTATGCATACAAGAACTAGGGTGCAGGCCAGAGATGTGGGAGGTGAGAGAACTCACCAGAGACAGAGTGGGGAGCAGAACAGGCAGGTCCACTGAAACACAGTGCTGAGGGGAGTAGCAGGAGACAGGAGAGGTCAGTTCCCTGGCCTGGGATCAAACTCGTGCGGTGGAGAGCTTCACAGTGCCGAGCCTTAACCCCATAGGCCATCAAGTAGGTCCTGAACTAAAAACTTTTTGACTAAAAGAAAACCACAGGAACAAAGAAGAGCCTACCGCATGTGACAAGGGGGTCATTCCAAAACATACACCCCAATCGAAGATGGGCAGATGTCTAGATAGACACGTCTATTTCTTAGGGTGAAGGAATTTGAATAGAGTTGGAGTGGAGAGAGAGAGAGAGGATTTCAAGTAACAGTTTCCCAACAAAACACCAAATGTCGCAGTGGATGCCAGGCTCAGCCCGACGTGTGGCGCTGAGGCCAGAAAGCGGCCCCAGGTCTGAGGCCCTCCTGGCGGGGACCACCGTAAAGACCCCAGAGGCAGCCCAGAGACGGCCGGAGAGACTCAGAATTCAAAATACGCTCCATCACCCAGCTTGGGGGCAGGATAACAGCTGCGGGTGTCCCGCCAGGACCAGGAGAGCCCCCGACGTGGCCTCACCCCTGCGCCTCCTCCCAGAGTCTCCTCCCAGGGTCTCTCCATGTTCCCCCACTGGGAACAACTGTCCGGCTTCTCTGATCATAAGGGAGACGCGGATCCAGCCACAGGGGGCGCCGCCGCAGCCTGGGGGCGCGGAGGCACCAGATGGTGGTGGGGACTTGAGGAAGAAGTTTTCACCTGCTATGGCCGGGATGCGAGCGCTGCCGCGGCCACGATCACCGCAGGGAGAGTTCTTCAGGAAATAAAAATGGAAATTCCATATCATCTAGCATTCCTCTCTTAGCTATTTGCCCTATAAATTAATTAATAAATAATTAGAAAATGGTGCTACAAAAAGACTCACACACTCCTAAGTCCAGAGCCGCACTGTCCGAATGACCAAGGCATGGACCCACCCAAAGGTCATAAAGATTCATGGGTCCGCCTCTGGGCCCTCCTGTGGCTGTGAAGAGCCTCCAAGAGCAGGACCCCCAGGACCAGCAGGAGGAAGGCGGCCACGCCCAGGCGGATGAGGTTCCCCATAGTGTAGTCCCCGGGGGGCCGGGCTGGGCCTGGGGAGAAAGACACACAGAGGTCAGAGCACAACACACCACACCCCTGTGTCTGCCTGACAAATCTGACAAGCTGGTAACTGGCAACAGGAATAGCGGGAAACACCAGGGAACACTGAGGTGGGTCCTGACCCCGAGCAGGACTCATGGAGGATGGCTGGAGGGGGAGCTGATCTGGCTGCAACTGGTCACATGGAAATCCAGGGGGAGCCCTGCTTGCTCCTCCCCCTGACAATGACAACCGCTGTTCCTAGAAACCGGACGTGACTGCAGTGAACCGAAGACCCCGGATGGAACTTCTGGACCTACTTTCACAGGAAGTCACTGACTTGGAAATTCAGAGCTTACTGAGTCTAGACATCCAGGATGCACTGGACTTGGATGAGAGGACAATGATTCCCGATATGGATAAGTTTTAACAACGAGCTCAGTGCCAGAAGGTTCAGCCAATTCCGCTCCGCTCATGCCTCCTGGGGCGACCACAGCCCCTGACCTGAGTGAGCCCCTCCTGCTCCCGCGTGGGCTGATCCACACATGCAAAGGACCAGGACCCCGGGCTCAGCACCAAATAGCGCTGAGACGCCTGCGCTGTCCCATGTCAGCTGGGCTGTTGTCGGGTCCTCCACAGCCCCCAGCAGGCACCGTGACCCCAACAAGGCTGAGTCACGCCCTCCCTAAAGTGCCACCTCCATGCCCAGTCTGGTGGGAACACCCTTCTGTGAGAGGGAACCTGAACAAGGAGAAGCTGGGATCCAGCCGAGGATGGAGGCACATGTCTCCTCCTGCCAAGAGGCCTCTGCTGCCCGCAGCCTGAGTGTCCCGAGGGTGCAGGGCTGCAGACAAATGACGCTGGACAGGGAAAGGACAGGGCGAGGCTCCAGTCTCCTGCCTCCATCTCCCTCCTCTACGGCGGCTCTTCTCCCCCTGCACACGCCAGTCATGGCTGTGACCTTGGGCGCGGGGGGCGGGGGGTGGGCAGGAAGGCAGGAGGGGGTTAGAGTCACTGTCTTTCCCACCCTCTGTGGCCCCATAACCTGTGGATCCCCCCCTGGATGTGTCTTCCTTCCGACGCTCTAGAAACTACTGGAAAAGGATGAGGCTGAAGGCCTGGACCCTCCATGGACATGGGGTGGGGCCTCCTCACCTGAGACCTGGAGCCGCAGGGGGTCACTGGGGTGTGACAGCAGGAAGGGGGAGGCGCTGTGTGAGCTGTAGCACCTGTAGGTGCCCCCGTGGGCTGAGGTCACAGCCCTGAAGGTGAAGAGGGCCTGAGAGGGGGCAGCTGTGTCCTGCAGACGCAGGCGCTGGGGGGACGCAGGCGACCCCTCCTTGGAGAGGTAGAAGGTGTCCGAGCGGGCGTCAGAGCGACACTGCAGGGTCACGTCCTCCCCCGGGGACACGGTGGGCCCGGGCTGGGCCGAGAGGGAGGGTTTCGTGTCCATTCCTGGGGGGAGGTTTGGCATTAGAGACCCCCCCAACCCCACACCCCTGACCCTGCGCCGAGGGCCCCTGTCCTGGTCCGGGGCCTCTGGGACGCCTGGTCCTCCACTCCTGTGTGGGTCTCTCTATGTCTGTGCCCCTCACCCCCTTTCTCGCTCGCGCTCCCTCGACCATTGTCCATCTCGGCCTCTGCCAGGACCCTCCCCCTGGACACATCACCCCCAAGGTGACCTGGGCCCGGGCCTCAACAGCCCATCAGGACCCAGGGCGGCTCCTCACCTGCGATCAGGATGTCTAGGGGGGCGCTGGGGGCCGACCACGCGTGGGAGAGGTTGTGTCCCCTGTAGCACCTGTACTGGCCCCCGTGGGTGCGGGCGACAGGGCCCAGGGGGAAGTCGGGGCTGTGCTGCCCGTCCAGACGCTGGGGGCCCATGTGCCCCTCGTCCTTGGTCAGAGCGAACCTGCCAAAGCCGGCCCCCGAGCCGCACCGCAGGGTCAGGTTGTGTCCAGACGGCACCAGGGGGCCCGGCTGCGCCGACAGGGAGGGCTCCCCATATGCTCCTGGGGACACGGGGACAGTGGCACCGAGGGTCACCCCACATTGCCTACTGGGCAGCGGTGAGTTCTCACCGTCCCTCCCACGCCCCTGCGCTGTGATCTGGACCCAGGAGTCCACGTCACTGGGCCCCACGTCACCCCCGGCTCCCCTGGACACGGGCTTAGCCAGTCCCTGGGGTGCAGCCTCACCTGTGACCTGGAGATGCAGAGGGGCGCTGGGCGCGGACCACAGGCCGGGGTAGGACATGGAATTATGGTAACATCTGTAGGTGCCCGCATGGGAAGGGCTCGAGGGGCCCAAGGGGAAGAGGGCCTGGTGTCTCCCCTGAAGGTACCAAGACCCGCTCTTGGGTTGGGGCGGGTCAGCGCCTCCCTCCTTCAGCAGATAGAAAGTGCCGGATGTGCCCTGTGATGTGCCCTGTGAGCTGCAGGCGAGGGTCACGTTCCCTCCTGAGGCCACCACAGGGCTGGGCTGGGCTGAGAGGGAGGGTACAGGGTACGCTCCTGAGGAAGAAGGAGGAAGCTGTGGAAAGGGGCCCAGCACCCCGATGTCTCGGGTATAGACATGAGGGGGGAGGTCCCCTGAGCCCACACTCCTTCCCTTCTGCTGGTGAAGGGGCCCGAGAAGGGAAGACACCCGGCTCCTTCTTACCTGTCACTTTCAGGACCAGGTAATTGCTCCGCTTTGACCTGCCATGGCGGCTTCGATAATGACACCAGTACGATCCCTCCCAGCCGGCATCCATAGATTCGATGAGGAAACTGACCCTGTTCCTGAAGTTCTGAAGTGTCTTAATCTCGATTCGAGAGCCCCCCTCTCTGTGCAGACAGTAGACCTGCGCCTGCTGAGACCCCTGACACCAGAGGGTCACAGGGCTCCCCACGGGGACCACGGGGCCTGGGTCGGCCCAGATGGCGGGTTTGGGGAGGGTCCCTGCAAAGGAGTCCGGTGAGTGTCGGGCTGCCTCTCCCTCAGTTTCCCCAGCCGTCACTCAGCCCCTCCAGGCAGGTCCCATCACCCACACCGCTGTGCTCCCCCCACTGTCCGGGGGCCCTGGGCTGAGGCAGGAGGTGTGGGGAGCACTCACCTGCCTGGACCTGGTCCCGTGGGCCCCGACACAGCCCTGGAAGAGAGGCCTGTGAGATGCATCCCCCCTCGGGGGAGCTCCTGGTTGGGCCCTGAGGGCTGCTCAGATCAGGGGCTGAGCACATCCTCCCTCCCCAGAGAGCTGCCCTCACAGAGCCCCTGAATCCTGGTGTCTCTCAGGTCAGACTCACCCCCTATTTTCCCCTGAAGCTCACCCAGGAAGAGAAGGGCTGTGAGGATCGGGGTGGGGGTGCTGCCTCCCATGGCCCCCAGTGGTGTAGACGATGAGAGTCCACAGAGCCCGGCAGGGCAGACAGATCCTGGCAGGACAGGCACCCCCAGAAGGTGTGACCAGTTCTATGTCATGTGACAAGGCGGGGTTCCTCATCTGCGGTCTCACAGGAAGGGGAACAGTCCTTGAGGGGCCTCCCACTGATTTTCCTGAGGGGCACGGGGAGACGGGAGCTCTGGGCCTCCCAGAGAGTTGTGGGTCCAGCAGACCCCACACGCCCCGCCTCTGACAGGCTGTCCTGGGAGGGCCCTGGCCAGGGCGGAGGCGAGCGGGCGGCAGCGTTGACCCGAGACCATCTCAGCTCCGTCTGACTCTGCCTTGCAGAACCCCGCGAGTGCTGCCTCACTTTCCGTCCTGCCCCTTGTGGGCACGTCTTCCCTCCAGGCGATCGCCCCATGTTGGCGCGTCCCGATGGAGACCCGGGGTGTAGCTGCGGGCCCTGCCCTGGACGCCTCAGCTGCGGGTGGCAACTGTGGTGAGAGTGTCTGTGCAGGGGACCCTCTGCCCGCACTCTACGGCTCCACAGGCAATGGAAGAACGCGACGGTGAGACTCGGTGGGAAGTGCGTCTCCCCCCAGTGGCGGCGTGGGGACCTTCTGAGAAGGGGAGACCAGGATTAGAGGGGAGACAGGCGTGGGGGCGTGGTGTCCTCTGCAGGGAACCTGGGGACCCTAAGAACTGCAGCTCAGGGCCTGGGCCTGGCGTCAGCGGCCTGCACACCTTGTCAGACGCGCCCCTCCAGACGCAGACGTCTTCAGCGACGAGTCTGAGCTACTGCTGAGGCCGGGCCCTGCGCACAGCAGGAGACACCTGTGGACAGTACCAGGGACAGACCCAACGGCCCCTGCGCCGGCAGCGTGGGCTCCTCCTGCAGCCCCTGCAGAATCCCTGCCCCGGGCAGCAGGCCCGCGGGACACCGGGGCGGGGACTCGCCGTCATCGTCACGGCTGCTGGCCAAGGGGCCGACGGGCCTGGGTCAGTGAGGAGCGGCCTGAGGACCCGCAGTGTGGTCGTGGCTCAGGGCGTGCCTGAGGTGGAGGCTGGGGTGAGTGTGGGGTGTGGGGGGCCGTCCGTGCTTGGTCAGGGACTTGGGCTCGACCTGGGCATTGGACCCGCGCAAGAGCAGTGGAGACGCTGTGTGTATTTAGGGGCGGTGGGGCCCACAGGAAGGCTCTGAGGGGAGACCCACAGCAGACAAGGCTGAAATCATGAGAGGAAAATCCTTCATCAGTGAACGTGGCCCTGTCTTAGGAAACAACAAGACTGAGGTGGGGGTGCCTGAACCCCAGCTGTGGCTGCGGGGTGGGCCAGGCCTGGAAGGAGGGCGGGCAGGTGGGTGCTCCTGGCATGTGAGCTGGGAGGGGGCAGGGATGGGGCTCTTCCCGGGGCCTTGCCGACCTGGGGTGCCAAGGGGGCCCTCACAGGAGGAGACTGGATGAGAAAAGGGGGTTGCGGATGTTGGAAGCTGGTGCTGACCACAGAGCAGCCGTCCCTCCCGGCCTGGCGCGCGGAGCTTCTCCACCCCCGTCCTCCCTGACTTCCCGGAGTCTCAGCACCTCTGTCCGTCGCATCGTCCAGGGCTCTGCCTCGTCGCATCCGCCCGCCTCTCCCCGACCCGACCCTCTGGGGTGCGCGGAGGGTGTCCCAGCGTGGCCGACGCAGTCGCTGGGCAGTCACGGGGCCTCCTTCGGGTGTTTGCCGTCGCCCCTTCCGGCGCCCGGGCCCGTCCTCCTGTCTGCCGGGACGGACTCTGAAGGGGCGCCGGACTGTCTTTAGGCAATGAAGCGGAGCTCACAAATAAATAAACACAAATTTAAAGTATAACTTATTTAGAAAAGAAAAATGACTTTTTGCATTTTTCTTTGCTCTTCTTTTTCTTGGCGATTCCTTTCTCTTGGCCTTACGGCAGCGGGAGTCGTCCACGAGGCGACGTCTGCTGGAAACGTGTGTGGCTGCTCGGGGCTCTCCCCCGGCTCGGAGCGGCAGGGAGCGGCACGCAGCGCGCTAGAGACGAAAAACACGGCGTCACCGAGCCTGCCCGGGAAGCGAGAGTCTCGGGTCACCTGATGCATGGAAATCTGGAGGGACCTGAGCTCACCCCACCGCGGCTCCATTTCCAGGTGGGCTCACCCTTCCCCTCAGCCTCGCCCATATTTGCTTTTCTTTTCTTCTTTGACGGCGAACACATTCATAGCCGAGGTAGCCCGTTGGGCTCCGTTCACACCACCCTGAGTTCGTGGGAGACATCGAAATCACCCGGGACCTGCTGCACCTCCATCCTCTCTCTTGGCAGGTGTGAGCAGGGGTTGAGCTTGGCCACCTCAAGGTCACAGAGCCCTCTGCCCCGGGCCCAGCAGCAGGGCACTTGGTGACTCAGTAGCGCCCAGGCCCGCTGTCCTCGGCCGCCCCAAGGGACTCTCAGCGGGCTTTGGGGTCAGAGATGAAGAGATGGAGACCCCACTACGGCATCACGGCGTGGGGTGACTAGAGAGGGAGAAACTGAGTCCCAGGAAGGCGCACTGAGCCCGACTGTGTGTGGGGCGTGGCCCCAGCCTTCCGGGTGGGACGAGGCCGATTCACAGAACAGGACAGGAGGGGAGCCATGGAGCTGACGCAGCGTGGTGGGGAGGGGAGTCCCGCGTTTAATGACAGGAGGGTCCAGACCTTCACCTGCTCACGGCAAGGACCCTCCACCTCCCAGGGACCCGCAGACAGTCCCCGCGCTGCCCAGACCAGCTTCTGGCCTCCAGCACAGTCACCTCCAGGCTCATGGGCTCTGGCTGGGGCCTTGTCCCCTCCCGGGCCCCCCTCCCGCCGCGTCTCGGGTCCTCCTGTGGCTGTGAAGAGCCTCCAAGAGCAGGACCCCCAGGGCCAGCAGGAGGAAGGCGGCCATGCCCAGGCGGATGAGGTTCCCCAGCGTGTAGTCCTGGGGGCGCAGGGCTGGGCCTGGGGGAGAAACACATGCAGGTCACACAGGGGACCAGGGGACCTCCCGTCAGGACACGGGGTGAATGTGGGGAGGGGGGGCTGAATATCTAGGGCTTCTACCTTTGAAAGAGACCAGGGGGCACAGGACAGACCGCGGAGAATCACCTGCTCCTCCTCTTCCCTTGTCCCGTATCTGCCACCCTCTCCTGGGCTGCGCCCGCCTCTGTGGAGCCCCCGGGGCCTCCGTTATTAGTGTCTCAAAGTCCCGAGGACAGGACCTGAGTGCCCTGCAGGGAGGACAGGGGAGAGCCTCACCTGAGACCAGGAGCTCCAGGGGCTCACTAGGGAGTGACCACACCTGGGCGGTGCTGTTGTAGTAGCCATAGCACCTGAGCAGCCACCTGTGATTGGGGGTCACAGGGCCCACAGGAAACAGGGCCTGGAACTGCCCATTGGGGAGTCGCTGTGAGTCCAGGGTCCAGGAGAATTGTGTTCTCCTTCCTCAGTCAGATGGAACCTGTCAAATCCCTGCCATGAGCCACACTGGAGGGTCACGTTCCCTCCTGAGGTCACCATGGGGCTCGGCAGGGCTGAGAGGCTGGGTTTGTGGTAAGATCCTAGCAGAGGAGGAGACAATGTATTAAATGGGGACACTCCCACCACATCCCCCAGGGCTGGGCTGTGAGGGGAGAGACACCCCGACAGTAGGCCCCCTCCCTGAGAGCAGAGACTGAGGCTGGACCCCTGAGTGTGTTCTCACCTGTCACCATCACCAGCTTCAGGGGGTCACTGTGCTCTGACCAGCCAGCGGGGCTGCCATAATCACAGTGATATCACCCTGCATAGTCCACTGTCAGGTGTGGGATGCGGAACGGGGCCTTGTCCCCGGGCATCAGTGGGGTCCCTCTGTCCCAGGGCACTGAGCTTCCCTCCTTATACAGACGGAACTCCTGGGCCCCCAGGGTCCCCTGACACCAGATGGTCACAGGTTCCCCCCAGGGGATCAGAGAGCCTGGCTCAGCCCAGAGGGTGGGTTTGGGCAGGGCCCCTGGAAGGAATCAGAGGCTGGTCACGGGCATCCCACCCCAGTTCCCAGGCCGCAGCCCAGAACCTCCCAGACATCCCCTCCATCACCCTAGACCTGCTGTTCTCCACCCATCACCCTAGATGTCCCCTCCATCACCCCAGAACTGCTGTCTCCACCACCAGCTGCCAGGGGTGGCCCCTCCCCAGTGAGGAGGCGGGACCCGGGACACCTGAGCACAGACTCACCTGTCTGCTCTGGGGTCCCGGGGCCCACACTCAGCCCTGGAAGAGAGTCCAGTGAGAGGCCTGCCCCGAGTCCTGACAGAGCCTCCTCCCGGAGCCTCCCGAGTCCTGGGTCCCCTGACAGACCAGGCCTGGCATGGGGCCTCCAGACCAGGGCGCCCTCCCTCCTCACACTCACCCAGGCAGAGCAGGGCCGTGAGGCTGGGGGTCATGGCATCCTCTCCGTGACCTGGCTGTGCAGATGGAGGGTCCAGGGTGCCGGCAGGATGGACACACAGAGTGGGGACACTGAACGCTGGTCCTTCCTGTCACGGGTTGTCAAGTCATTCCCCACAGGAAGAGGAACAGTTACAGGGCAGGGAGAGGGGCAGCCCAAACCCTGCAAACCTGCCTATTCTAAATGGGTTCTGCCCTCCGCCGCATCAACACAAAGCATATGAGACATTTAATGGGAAGGAACTTCCATACAATTAGGAAACAAGACAGGTAAGGCAAAGAATCTAGTTTCTAAATCAAGCACCCAAAGTTGCCCGTCCCCTCGTGGATAAAACTCCATCTAAAAGGGACTGGCCCAGAGCAAGGCCCCAAAGCCTGCCACAAGTCTAAAGCATCTTCCATGGGGACCCACCGAAAAGGGTCAGAAACAACCAAACCCAGAAGGAAAAGAGCAAAATCAAGATAAAAGCTGCCACTGTCACCTCCCCACAGGTCTCACCCACATCTGTGTCACCCCGTCCACAACCAAAAGGCAAGCACAGTTTCTTCACGTGTCTCTAGGATCCACGCGCCTCCTCCAGGTCTCCTGGCTCCATCCTGCTTCCTTCCTTCCTCAGTCTCCTCTGCAGCTTCTTCTCTCCCTGCTCAGCTCCACCCTCCCTTGGGTGGGGCAGGGAACCTGGAACCTCCCCCTTTCCTGGGGACCAACCTGTTACAATCTCCCCTTTTAATTTTTATTCCACCATCTCTATGGTGGCACAGATCTCAGGGTGTAGTCTCAGGAGACAGTCTTTTTTCAGGGTTACATGTGTGTAAGAGAAGCAACAATTAGTCAGCAGCTCTGTCCATGAATGTCCAGGATGAGAGTTTCCATTGCTGGAAAATAGTCCATTATCCAAGCCAAAAGAAAAAAAAATCTGGAGCATTAGCTAAACAAGACAGCAAACATATCAAAATCACAGGGGAAAAAAATCTTAAAATTGGTTCAACTTATGCAAAAACCGAATTCTCTCAACCTCGAGGCCAAACTTTTTAACAGCATAGCAAAAGTTTGCAAACTAAATCTACTTTTAAACCATTTTACCTATTTTGCATAAAATCACAGGGCAGAATACTAAACAGCAATTTCTAGCTGGCTTTGTTGGAATACTCCATATAGGATCAGAGCGAACCGTTGGCTTCCGGTCCATGTAGGCTTCAGGAACAAAGTTGGTCTCATCAGACTCCACCTGGGCTTTCCTCTTCTCGAGGGTACAGGACTTTTTTGTTGGCCGGGTTGTCCAGTCCTGCCAATGGAGGCAAGCTTCCTCACCTTCTTTGGAAGTCTCTGGAACCCTACGAACAAAGCAAACAGGTTCTCCTCTTCTTGGTTCAGCTCTGCTTCAACTTTCTGGAAGAACTCCTCTCAAAGCCACACAATGAAACTCATGTCCAATTTTTTTTTAGTTTAAGCAGACAAAATCCCTATGGAAGTTATGCAAAAACAGACTCTGAGATAAGTAGCAAAAAAGAAATTACTACCACTATTTGTATGCTGTGTTGGTTTCAAGGTGGGGGGAAATGTGACACAAGTTAGCTTTGCTGGAAAAAAAAAAACGCAACCCTGCTGCAGGTGCTGGTCACTCCAAACAAAAAAAAACTTTGTGGATTCAGAACAAAATGCAAAAAATTATCAGCATTATGTCAAAGAAAACTTAGAAAATACCAGGTATATTCAGTCCTGTGTAGGAAATTTGTACTCTCAACAGTTCCATCAATAGGAATCTGTTGAGGTCTTTTCTCCCTATTTTTCAGAAACAATTTCTGTCAATAAATAATCGAAGTGTACAATAGTACAAGGTGACAATCCCCATTGACAATTTACATACATATCAGGTTCTGAGAGGGTTTATACACATTTTAGAAAACCAGTGTTAACATTTCTGTACATGCCAAAGTTTTACCATTTTCCCAAGTGAAGATGCTTCCCTTCCAGTGTTACTTCATTGGGGAAGCCAAATAGAACAAACTCATCTAATGCCTTTCCCTGGAGGAAAGGGAGAAACTTTGTGGAGTGTCCCAGGAGCTCTACTGAGGTTCCACAAAATTTCCTTGCATCAGCCAAATGACAGGCTACCAAATTTGTGCTTGAATTTAGATTTCTGGGCAGCTTTGCCATAAATATCAGGAAAAAATAACAGAAACAACAATGTTCAATCTCTATGAAGGCACCGGCTTAGTTCAATAGTACAATGTTAACAATGAAACCATAACCTTTGTGTTTTTCTCATAACTGGAGACTTTTTTTTTCAACGTCTATGCGCACCGTGTCTACCAATTTTTCAACCTCTCGAGGCCAAGACAGACAGAAGGACATACAGACATACAACATATAGACAAGACAGTTTTTTTTAGTTATGCCATGTGGAATATCTTATATAACTGCAGTTTTACTCCATCGGCTCAGAAAAAAGGGTCAAAGTCCAAAAAAAAAATGTGGAGTGTTGCTGGCAGAAAACAGTTTCCAGTTGTCATCCTACAAACCTAAGACTTTGGAAATAGGAAGGAAAAGTTTTATTAATCACAAGAATACATGACCTTGTTTATCATGTTAGGGTTTTCAGTGTTGAAGACTTTTTATTAGAAGTCAATCCTGGGGTATACTGTACAGCAACTGAAAGAGCAAAGTAACAGTTCACTTTTAAGTAAAAGGAGTCATCTCGTGTTAGCCACCAAGCAGGCAGTCCGTGGGTTTCCTGGAATAGAACCTGAAAAAGCAAAATCAAAATATCAGTAATTAACTTTCAATTAAAAGGAGTCATCTCCTTACTTCTGTTAGCCACTATGGGATAGAAGCTGAAAGAGCAGATTCAACATCTAAGCACAGATGACACCTCCCCTACACTAGGGAGGGACAGCAACAACACAGGCATGAAAACCTGGTACAGTTACACGATGCACCCTAAAGAGTGCTTTCCACAACAGACCTTCCTCAGTAGGAAGCAGAAACTTAGAATCTTGTCTTACACCAGCAATTGAACACATCCAGGATTCAAAATGGCAAACATGCCCAAAACAAATTGTGTAGACAAAATTCACAGCAGCAAATCCTTTCATACTCAGACAAAATCTTGTTAATTTTTCTGATATAGACTTTGCAAAAATTCACGTTATCTCCAAGAATCCATCAAGGCTACCAGCACTTACCAGTTAACTTTTGTTAACACCAAGGCATACAATTGCTAATTTAAACAACACTGCTCCACAGTTGACTTGCAAAATCCCTCAGGCAGAGGTCAGGAAGTAGTCAAAGACAAAGCAACATAGCACTGAAGAATCATTATTGCCTTTAGAAATGCTAATGAGACAGCAGAGATTACAAAAAGAAAGAAAAAAAAAGTTCCAAAGTCCTAGCAACAAGAACCTCTGAATTTTACAAGAGCCAGCCAAGTGGCCTCAGACGCCATCTTTGATCTGGCCACATGGTCCAACGTACAGCCTAATCTTGAGTAAAAACTGTTGCACAGAACAACTTCCATAAAATCAAATGTCTTAGCAAGTCACTACAAACAAATCACATAGAGACACATGGATGTTCACAAAGCCCAAGCCAGTTTTTCAACAGCAAATCTACATATGATACAAACACACCAGAGAAACCAAAAATCACATTTGCGCTTATGGTAGCCAGTGCCAAGGGAAGCCCAAGTTCCCCATGGGGCTGACTAATCCACAAATGGCTCTGTCCTAAATCACGTTGGGCGCCCAATCTGTTACAGGACAGGGAGAGGGGCACTCCAGACCCCGCAAACCTGCCTGCTCTAAATAGGTTCTGCCATCCGCAATCAACACAAAACATGAGACTTTTAATGGGAAGGAACTTTAATACAATTAGGAAACAATACAGGTAAGGCAAAGTATCTAGTTTCTAAATCAAGCACCCAAAGTTGCCCGTCACCTCGTGGGTAAAACTCCATCCAAATGGGATTGGCCCAGAGCAAGGCCCCAAAGCCTGCCACAAGTCTAAAGCATCTTCCATGGGGACCCACAGAAAAGGGTCAGAAACAACCAGACAAGCCCGGAAGGAAAAGAGCAAAATCAAGATAAAAGCTGCCACTGTCACCTCCCCACAGGTCTCACCCACATCTGTGTCACCCTGTCCGACCAATAGACAAGCGCAGTTTCTTCACGTGTCTCTAGGCTCCATGCGCCTCCTCCAGGTCTCCTTTTGGCTCCATCCTGCTTCCTTCCTTCCTCAGTCTTCTCTGCAGCTTCATCTCTCCCTGCTCAGCTCCACCCTTCCTTAGGTGGGGCAGAAAACCTGGAACCTCCCCCTTTCCTGGGGACCGCCCTGTTACAGAACTGTCCTCAGGGCCCTGCTCTGGTTTATGGGAACAGCAAATAGAACTGGTGCCTCCTGAGATGGCCCTTCCTGGGAAGGGAGACCCAGGGCACGTTCTCCCTCAGAGCCTCCCCATAGGGTGTCCTCACCCTA